AGCGCCCGCACGCACGCGCACCGGCATGCACACATGCACGTGCACGCCTGCGCGCACACACGCCCACGCGCACGCGGACACTCGCGCGCATGCACACACACACACACACCCACGCACGCACGCACCCACACACACACACACACCCACCCACCCACCCACCCACCCACGCGCGCGCGCACGCGCACGCGCACGCGCACGCGCACGCGCACGCGCACGCGCACGCGCACGCGCACGCGCACGCGCACGCGCACACGCACACGCACACGCACACGCACACGCACGCACACACACGCACACGCACACGCACGCACGCACGCACGCACGCACGCACGCATGCACACGCACTGCGCTTACCACGCACAAAAGGCGCACCATGCGCGCCATGCAGATGTAGTGAAATGTTGATGATCCAGCTTATCAATCGCAATTTGTTTCTCCGCAAAGTGTTTTGGGTCGCGGTGTAACTCACGTGTAGGATCTCTAGAAAGCTTGATGGACATCTCAGCACTCACATCCGAGCTCAAGCAACTCAACTTTCCTAATGGATACGTGATGAGCTTGCCCCCGATGTCTCAGTTGCTCAGTCACGTTGCTCAGAAGTGTCCCCGAACAGCACAGAAAGATGCACTACAAACAAGGCGTGTATAGCTCTGCAAGGGAAACCAGCAGCGCATTGGCTTTGCTTGTGGAAGCTCCCAGGCCTCGGTTTGCTTCGTGGCAGAGCCGCGGCCATTGCCGCAACTGGACACCAGAGAGCCGGGCGCGCGAGGGCGGCATTTGGACGAGAGGTGGGGGATGCGCAGCACCCGGGCCGGGGACTTTGGTATGACTTTGGTCTTGGGCATATCGCGGAGTCGCCTCCATGTGCAGGTGGGGGAGAAGATTGTGTCGAGTATTGGCAGGGGCCGGTTGGGTTGGTTGAAGTTGAACTTGGGCCAAGTGAGCCTTGGCTGATGCTTGCAACGTGATGGCGCCTCAAGCGCAGACTTGAGCAAATGGTGCCACTCTCCCGGCAATGCCTGCGTCCATTGGTAACGGTAATGATACTGGCAGGTGGGTCAGGATGAATTCCCCCAAACTTGACCAGAAAATAAACGTAGGACGAACATTGGCGAATGTTGCTTGTTTGGTCACCTGTCCCTGAGACGCCTTTGCAGGAGCAACCTGGTGGCTGAAATGAAACATCCTTTTGTGCGGGCATTTGCTTGGTGCGGGGAAGCAACCAACTTTCGGCATCATTCTTGCCTTGAAGGGAAGTCCACGCACAGGTCATTGTTGATGTTGTGGTTGCGGTAGTGGTCGCAGTTGGGTTGTTGTGGTTCGTTCAGGTTTGTAATTGTTGTGGCGGTTGCAGTTGTGGTTGTGCTTGTGGTTGCTATTTGTTGTTTTCTTTCGTCAGTTGGCTGCTGCTGGCTGCTTGTTGCCAGATTTTTGTTTTTTACTAGCGGATGTCGCTGGTCGTTGCTGGCAGTTGGTAGGTTGTTTCCTTATCATTTCAGAAATTGGATCCGTTGGGAGATTGTCAAGAATATGATGTTGTCCCGCCTTCGCTACAGCTTTGCCCTAGGCTTTCTGGTCTTGTGCTCGACGGGAGTGATTGCATGCCCCCATTCCATTAGCTCTCTGTTGCTGCCTTCAAAACCAAATCCAGGACCTGCATGCTCCCTCTGCATAAACTGGATGAATGCAAATAGGTTAGACATGGCATCATCATGTTGAATGCACATTGTTCCAGAGCTGCAAGATCTTGCGGCTGCCTTCTGAGAAGTTCAAGGGTCGTTTGGAGCACAGGAGGAAGGATTCGATAACCCCAACGTATGCTCTGTCGACCGACACACACACACACTCTCTCTCTCTCTCTCTTTCTGTCTCTCTCTCTCTCTCTGTGCGCCTTTTAGTGCGCCTTTTGGTGCGCCACAAGGAAAGCCTTGTGTTGTATACTCTTCCTTAGATTTCCTTCAAGGACACCAATCTCATATGCCTGACTATGTGTGTGAGCACCAGCTGCCATGGGCAAGTTTGGCATTGCTGTAACAAGTGCCTCCGTTGAAACTCCGGGATTTTTGCATGAATGATTATTATATATTTGCTGTCATCTACGGAGGAGATGGCATCGCGTACTTTCACTACTCACCATCCAATATCATTGCAGCACACAACGAATATTGACCATGGCTCACGTAACGAATTTCGATACACAGGGTCCCCCTTCTTTTAATAAGCAAATACATTTTTTTTTGTTTTGTTTTAAGTTCACCCCCCCCCGGTTTGTGCAGGGAAGCGGCAACGCTGCGCCAGGCTGCGGGACGCGGAGCAGCGGCACAGGCCGAAACCGCCGCGGACCGCGGCGGAAAGTCCGAGGAGCTCGAGGTGCCGGGAGTTTGGTTCGTGGCTCGACTTGTAGCCGCTTTCCAAAGGAAGTGGAGAGGAGGCTAGAAAAGGAAAGTAGTCTTCCAAGACCCTCTTGGCAGCTTTTCCATGCCATCGTTGACGGATGTGTTCAACATGCTTGTTCCATTGTGATTCGCTCTCCGTTGGAACCAGTGAAAATAGGCAGGAGAATAGGCACCGAGCCACATGAGGGGTTGTTCATGGGTTGTTCCGACTTGCGCCCGAGGATTACGGTACCTACGCTCTATATTTTGGGTATTCAGATTTATCCTAGAGTTTTTTGATGAGTTCTTCTCAGGGTGTCAATCGATGTACTGAGGTGCGCAGGACATGCCAGGATGACCAATTGCACTATCCGCATATAGCATCCAAGCCGACTGACAACTTTCTGATAGTATCCTTGTTTCACTTTTGATTTGAGGTTGCAGGGCAGGTTTGATAGAATGTCTACATTTGAAGCCTTGGGGAGGGCGGATTTTAAATGCAGCCAACCTGACCCTGTTTCTTTCCTCCTTTATCCGGGACCTTTTGTCGGGCCACAATTCAAAGATCATCAGTGATCCGTAGCATTCTCATGTAGTGACCGCCATTAGGGACTAAGCTCCCCAACCTTCTCGTGGCTACGGTTGGTTCACACCATTTCGGTTCACACCATTGCGGTTCGCCACTTGGCAGGCACGATGCATCGCCAGAGGCAGATGTTTGGCAGGCTGGAGATGGACCAACGGCCCAGAACATGCAGGTTCCTATCGTGGGCAGCGTGGAGAGCAATACTTGGGATGCTCACTAGAGACTACGGCATGTGATTGCATGGGATGAACCTCCCCCATGAGGCCGTTTCGCGGGGACCCGAATCAAAGAGCAATTTGTTATCAGTATGCGGTTTCGTACAGCAACCTGGACAAACGCAATCATTTCTGCCTCTACATCCAGATATTTGTCCGCTGCATTTGAGCGCTGCACTTTGGTGCTTTTGTCTTTGTCTTGATGTTTGATCCAGCACTTCACTTAGTGAGTTGCGGACGGCCTTTCCCTTCAATGCTGATTGGTTGGCTATCCACACAGCGGCGAGCTCCAGCTCAGTCCTTGCCAAATCTTACAGTTTTTTGTGTGAGCACTAGGACGGAAGACGCTCAGCGCCACTTAAACAGCAAGTAGAGCGCTTCTGCGAGAGGCCTATATTTCGGGACCAACTTCCGCGCAAGTGGGAGCATAGGTGTGGGAGACGGACAAGCTGTATCCTCAACAGTATGGCTGTCGGAGTTATCGTGGCATTGCGAGCTTACCATTTTCTCAGTTTCGAATTTAGTTTGGTGTGCTGATAGTTTTAGGGCCACTTCCTTTTGAGTCTTGGCTTGCCAGGCGAGTCCGCCAAGGGAGGTGCAGGCGAGGGCACCGGGTTTGTCGAGATGCGCCGTCTTGCTTGCGATGGGGCGCCTTTTCAGGTTGTGACGCTTAAGATGGATGCTGCAGCACCGCACGTGCTTTGCGCAGTTTGCCACGCAAAAGCAGTGTGGCTATCATCTCGACTTGAGTTCACGAGATGTCTACATGCCTTCTGAGCCAGGCATGGTCTGCCAGTCTGCCAAGTGATCTGAGTTAGCCAGCACATTTTGGCTCGAAATATCAACTTCTTTGACAGGTTTCTGATTTTTTTAGCTAACACTGGGTTTCAGTGCGGCATTGTGCTCATCCTGCAGCGTGTGTTAGCAAGTGTGCCACTTGCTCGTTCAAGAGCGTCAGAGAGGGCGTCCTCGGACGTTAGCTGATCATGTGGCAACAATCTGTGCCAGGTGCCGGAAGTGCCACCTGCCGTCCAGATGCAGGCAGAGGTGGGCCAGCGGGCGCACCAGCTGTCAGAGTAGCTTGGTCCGTTGCCAGGATCTTACACTTCAACAGTGTTGACTGCAACTTGAGTCCTCATGCTCATGGGGAGGGAATGCAGTCAAAGTGACGAGGTACCGACGCCCCAAACAGGATAACCCCGCCCCAAATAAAGGGTAACACTGCCTAAATGGAGACGGGAACAGGCCGGAAGAAAGTATTATATTCCGGTGTATGCATGAATAAATACAATAGCCTCCTTTCTGCCTATTTCCTTCCTCCCTCTTGCCTCCTCCCTCCTTTCTCCCTTCTGCCTCTTTCCTCCCTTCTGATTCTGCCTCCCTCCTTTCCCTTCTGCCTTTTTCCTCCCTTCTGCCTCCTCCTTTCCCTTCTGCCTCTTTCCTCCCTTCTGCCTCCTTCCTCCCTTCTGCCTCCTTCCTCCCCTCTGCCTCCTTCCTCCCTTTTGCCTCCTTCCTCCATACAAGCGGCAACCGGCCTGGGAAGCCCAAGTCACGAGCCTTTTGGTTGCTTCTCCTTTCTTCTTCCTTATCTCCTCTGCCTCCTCCTCCTTCTTCTTGTCCCCTTCTCCTTCTCCTTCTCCCTTGCTTCTCTTTCTGCCCTCCTCCTCTTCCTTCTCCCTCCTTCTTCTCTTTCTCCCCTCCTCCCCCTTCTCCTCATTCCTTTCCTCTCTTCCCCGCCCCTTCATGTAAGCTCATTGTAAGATTTGATAGAGCAAGGCCTTGGACACCAGTGCAGTTGGTGTAGTGGTATGACACCCGCTCAGCATGTGGGAGGCTCCAGGCTTAATCCCTCATTTGTCCGCGCTTTTCGGGGTTGCTGTGCTGCTGCTTTCAAATCGGTGGAGTTTCCAAATCGATCTGGCCGCAAAGCCTCTCTCTGCACCCTGCTTCTCTTCCTTCTTCTCCTCCTTCTCCACACAAGCGACAAACGACCCAGGATGAGTGGCATAATTTTCAACATGAAGCCCAAATCACGATGCGTTTGGTTCCTTCTCCTTCTTCTCACCCTCCTTTTTTCTCTTTAATCTTCCTTCTTCCCTTCTCCTCCTCAAGCAGCAAACGACCCGGGATCTGTGGCACAATTTCCCAAATCTTAGCATGCGGGAGCCAAGTTCAATCCTAGCTAGGTCCGTTTATTGGTTTGGTTTCTCGCTTCGTGCTTTCTTTCGTTTACGGACCGGGGCAAACGAGCCGGGATGTGTGGTTCAATGTCCAGAAAGCAGCCTAAATCACGAGCCGTTTCGTTCCGCCACGTTGAACCATACTCCTTGAGTGAAGTTTCACATACGGCATGAACCCATGTCACCGCAGGCCTTGAGCTCATGTAGAAAAGCGAGTTTGGTAGCGGAGCGGGTAAGCTGCTCCGCGCCAATTTGGGGTCTCCGGCGCCATTTGTCGGGACCTCTCGCTTGGCTACTGGTCCCTCAGCCAGGGGGACGGTTCTCCCCGCTGAGGGAACCGGTGGAGGCGCGGAGGAGTTCGAGAGCAAGAACCCGCACGCGGCGATCTTGGCTTCTGTAAGCCCCAAGGCTTGAGCCTCGGGCATCTGGCCAGGAGGAGGCAGAGAATTCGATCCAGGAGACGGTGTTGGCGCGAGCCCACGTACAGCAATGGCAGCACCTCCCGGGACGAACGCAGGAATTCCGCTGACTGAGTACAGGAGAGATGTTCCTCCAGGATGGCAACCGGCACTACCTGACTACCCTGTTCGTTTGTATTTCGACAAACTGAAGTTGTGGTACAGGGTATATGATGGACCTGATGAGTGTGTCGGGCCCTTGGTGGCAGGTCGATTACATGGTCGCGCTCATCGCATAGCCCTGCAACTGCGTGTGCCGCGACCGGACGGAACCTTCGACCAAGGAGACTCAGCACTGGTGAGACTGGCAGTCGACGAAGTCAGAGACCACCAACATCCAGGACAAGCGGCTGCACTTCCCGGTCTTCAAGCACTACAAGACTGAGGTCCACGTCGGCGAGTACTTCACGGTACGAGGAGAACGGAGACGAGGGCTAATCGTGGACCCGGGTGCAGCGTCAGGACCAGTCCTGAGACAAGGACAGTGGTCATGGCGCCGGAGAAGAAGAAGCAGAGAGTGAGCTTCCAGGAGGTCAGTCCACAGGAGGAAGAGTACCTCATGCAGTACTATCAGGCGGAAAAGATGAAGCGCATCTTCTACCGCGACTTCCCAGACGGATGGAAGATCGAGAGCAGGATGCACACCGTCTACGTCAAGGAGCTGAGGCAGGTGCACTATGAACAGATGAGGAAGAGCTTACCACCGCTGTTCACCATGCACTACAAGTACGATGCATCAGTCATGGCAGATCTACGAGAAGCCGAGATCTTCCGTGTTGACGTGGAAGCCGATGCTATTGAGGAGGATGAGATGATTGAGATATGGCCACAGGTGGAAGAAGCTGACAGAGCAGAGATTCAGCAATTCACGGACGAGAAGGCTTTCAAGAAGATATGCCTGGACTACATGACATCAGAGATGATCCTGATCGATGCACGGTGGGTCAGGAAATGGAAGAGACTCCCGGACAAGAAACGCAAGGTCAAGTCACAGCTTTGCGCAAGAGGATTCATGGACAGTCAGAAGTCGTTGCTAGCCACTCGGTCAACGAGGATACACTCTGGAGAGCTGGGACATTGCCGGAGCTTTCCTGAAGGGTTTCAGCTTCGACAAGGTGAAGGAGTTGCTCAAGAAGAAAGGAATCAATACCCCGGACCGGAAGGTGATAATCATTCCACCTGCCAATGTGTGGAGGCACTTGATGGAGATTGACCCAGAAAACTTCTGGATCCCGGAATCCAAGGTTGAGGGTTACGGTTTGCTGTGCGAGAAGCCGGTGTACGGGTTGAACGATGCACCGCTGGCATGGCAACTTTGCCTTCATGAGTTTGCCAAGGAGCAGAACGGCATCGCGAGCAGTCTGGATGAGAACATGATCATCTGGAAGGGTGACAAGCATATCAAGAGATTGGAGAACGGGCAGACACTGACACCTATGGCCACCACGCATGTGGATGACATCGCACTATCTGCCGACGAGTCATGGCTGAACAACCTGTATGTTCTGTTCGTGAAGCGTTTCAAGAAGGTGACCAGGAACCGCCTACCATTCGAACACTGCGGATGTGAATACGGAGCCACGGTGGACGGTTTTTCCATTACTCAACGAGAATTCTGCAAGAAGATACCTCTAGCACCAGTACCAGCGAGAGCACCCGAAAGCAAGCTGCTACCGAAGGAGATCACGGACCTAAAATCAGCACTCGGAGCTCTACAATGGCTGACAGCGACCAGACTGGACATCATTTCAGATGTATCAGCTCTACAGTCAGTGGCGAAGACAGGAGAGGTGAAACACGTGCAGCAGGTCAACAAGGTCATCAAGCAGGCGCAGAGTGTCAACAACCAGAACCTGGGTTTGCACCACAGGAGATTCCACAGCAAGCATCAACGTATAGTGGCAATACACGATGCCTCATCGGCAACGAAGGGACGGGACGATGCTATGCAAGAAGGAATCCTGGTTTTGCTCATGGACGACATCTGGCACGGCCGAGAGATACCACCACATCAGATCTGCAAGGAGGAAGAGACAGTTCGTCATGGTGGAGTCGGACACGTACTATATGCTCATGGTTGCAAGGCTAAACGCATTTCGTATAGCACGAGCCACTCAGAAACGCTCAGTGCAGCGAGCGCTATGGAAATAGCGACCTTGGTGCGACTTCGGATGAGTGAAGTGGACTATCCGAAGGTGATGCCGAGTATCAAGCAGCTCATTGGAATACAGGAAGCAGGCGACATGAACATGCCACTGGACATGTACACAGACTGCAAGGACTACTTCTCATTGGTTACAGGGACATCATTGCCCCAAGATCGAACGCAGCGGTTGTATGTGCTCGCAGTTCGGGAATCGAGGATCGCTGGAAGAATCAGGCTCACGTGCCTGGTGCCCACGGAGTATATGACGGCAGACGCGCTGACAAAGCCAATGGTCAGCCCAGTGATGATGAAGATGCTATCCACCGGACTGGTGGAGTTCCACAACGCCGATCACAACATGGAGGTGAAGTACCTTCCAGCCATCAAGGAATACACCGAGGAAGACATCATTGCAGGCGACCAGTCGATCATCGACAAGATCGCTTTCGGAGGGCTTGTCTTGCTTCAGGGAGGCAAGCTAGCACTATGCTTCGCAGCTATGGCCACCATGCCAATGGTGAGTGCAGGAAAGATAGGTGAAGACGTCCACGTCACCGTCAGTGCGGATGAGGATGACTTCTACACCAACTACTTCATCTATGGCATCATTGCCATCTCAATGGCTGCGGCGCTGTTGGTGGAGAGGACCATTTTCCAACTGATGCGCTGGCATTCCGATCACAGGGACGCCGTCAACCAGTCAAAGCTAAGCTCGTTGCAAGGCGAGCTCGCAAATGCCATCAAGAAGATCAAGGAGGAGAAGAACGCTCGAGAAGAAGCAGAACATGCATGTACTCTACTGAGGAGGACCCTTGAACGAGTCCAAGGAGAGCGCACGAGAGGTCAGGAGCACCTCAGAGGCCAGAAGCGCCTCAACACGTCCAGGTGACTACTACTGGACGCTGCTTTCATCAGGCAGGGTGCAGACACCTCAGAAATCGCACTTCGCTCACGTACAGACGATGCGAAGATTGCGGAGGCTAACTCTGGGCAAGAAGTGACCGGGAGTGAAGTTTCACATACGGCATGAACCCATGTCACCGCAGGCCTTGAGCTCATATAGAAAAGCGAGTCCTTGCCAAGTCTATGCGGCGCGGTTGCACGCCAACAAAAAACGCGGCGTGGTAACTGCTCGTTTTCGGCGCGGTTACTCCTAAGCCTTTGCGGCGTGGTTGCAGCACACTCCCAATGCAGTCGCTTGACCCAACTGCCCCCAGCTGCTTGCCTCATTTCCCGGCCTTGGCTTCCTCTGATCTCACCGATCTTTCCTCCTTGTCTTTCTGTGGATGGACAACATCCTGACCACCTGCATGAGTTGCCAGTTGGTAGATGGTTTGTCCCGATAAACATAGTAACTACTGAGTTTGCCCATCCACAGTCGTGAGGTTTTCTCTCGTGGCATGTTTGGGACCGTTGGACAGCACGGCAAGCTCTTAGCCGACTATCCCAAAAACCATGAAGTAGGGCGCTCAGAGGGATTGCAAACGCCTCCAGCCAGGCCGTGTCCTCTTTGCGGCAGGCAGAGCCGGGACTCATGGCTTTGGGCCGGTTGGAAAGGGGAATGCTTGGGTTGTAATTGGAGTGTCCACACACACACACACCTAGGTCCTCGAGTAGTGCCCTTTGACCCTTTTTTGGGGAGGGTTCCCCCACTACAGAAAAAGGGTACCCTTATTCTAACCTCTCTACTGGAGGACATAGACCCACACACACACCACACACACACACACACGCACGCACGCACGCGCGCGCACACACACACACACACACACACACACACACACACACACACACACACACACACACACACACACACACACACACACACACACACACACACACACACACACACACACACACACACACACACACACACACACACACACACACAC